AGCCCGTGGCTCCACCCACTTAGGCTCTTGAGTCTGCCTTTGGGGTCATCTTTTTCCCATAAGAAATAGACTGTGTTTGCACCTGAGAAATATTCTTTAGCCTGCTTGCTGCCTAACATAGTTTGAAGTCCAAAGGTCTCTCTGTCTATTTTAGTATAAAAAGGAATGGAAACAGTAAAATCAGGTTAAAGTGGGTGGTGTGGAATAGTGTGATAAGAGAAAAGAATCTATGAGGTCAGAAGATAGCCCAAGAAACATGTGAGAATAAGAGGAAATGCTGTGCCTTAGAAATAATCTATGAACTGATGATTAGATCTGAGATTCCTATATGGAAGAAGGCTGTTTCTCCACTCCCAGGGAGACGTCGGAGAGTGGTCTCCATGACCTGAAACTTGAGACTAGCTCTAGTTTTACTATTTGTCTTTTTTAGCCTGAAGATCATAAAGATGTATATCTTCTTACTTGGCCATTTTCCTAGGTTTTTTTTAAACTAAGAAATAAATACTCATAAATTTCAAACAGTCCAAAAATTAGTCATCTTGCCATTACAATTTCTCAGACCATCCCAAAAGCAATACTATTAGCAATCTCTTTATGCATCCTGCCTAAAATAGTAAACATATAGATAATGAATGGATGGATGGATGGATGGATGGATGGACGGATGGACGGATGGAGAGATGATCAGATTTCTCTTGGTTACAGTAGAATTCCAAGGGCCAACTGATAAATGTGAAATGGGTGCTGGAGTTGGAAAACCATCATTTTGCAACCATTACAGTAAAAATGGAAGTGAATAAGAATTATCAATGGATACTAAATCCAGGGCAAGTTAAGAAGAATAACAGGATATCTGCATGGTCTTAAAGTGTCTCCCCACTGACTGCTTACTAGTTATATGGAGGGAAAAATTATACAGTGGGGAAATGAGGCAATGCCTTGACCAGGTGACCAAAATTAAACATCGCCTATGCTGTCCAGCTGAGAATGTATAACCTCATTTAATCCAAAGTAGATGTTAGAAAAACACAAAATGAGAAAGATTCTATTAAAAAAAAGAAGGGGGGGGGTCTTCAAAACCATCCATGTCAAAGACAAAGAATGGCTGTCGGAATGTGTTATAGACTGAATGTGTTCCCCCAAATTCATATGTTAAATCCTAACATCCTATATGATGGTATCTGGATATGGGACCTTTGGGAGGTGATTAGGTCATGAGGAAGGAATATTCATGAAGGGCATTAGTACTCTTATAAAAGAGACCCCAGAGAGCTCCTTCGCCCCTTCTGCCATGTGAGAACATTGAGAAGACAGGAGACAGGCAGGCATGTGCAACTAGGAAGACAGACAGAGAGACAGAGAGACAGAGAGAGACAGAGAGAGACAGAGACAGAGGGAGGGGGAGAGGGAGGGCTGGAGAGAGAGAGAGAGAGAGAGAGAGAGAGAGAGAGAGAGAGAGAGAGAGAGAGAGAGAGAGAGAGAGAGAGAGAGAGAGAGAGAGAGAGAGAGAGAGAGAGACGAGGGGCGGGGGAGCGGGGAAGGGAATGCAAGAGTGCGCACACGAGAGCAGGAGAGGGTCTGGACTTCTCAGACCCTCAAACTGTGAGAACTAAATTTCTGTTGTTTATAAGCCCTGCAGTCTATGGTATTTTTGTTACAGCAGCCAGAATGGACTAAAAGAATGTTTCAGATTAAAGGACATTAAACAGACACGAAAACTAAAGGCAACATCTGATACTGGACCCTGCCTCAGAGGGGAAATGTTCCAAAGGACATTGTTAGGTTAACTAGCAAAACCAAAATACAATGGAAATCATAGAAATCATGATGTTAGTAAGTATGCTACAGTTACTAGAATATTCTCATTCAGCACAGTGTTGGGAAGCTGGCTCTCCAGGAAGAAAAGCCCATATTTATAGCTTTTGCATATTTCTGTGGTGTAAATAACTCTCACCATAGCCAATTTCAAAGCTATCGAAGGTTTAATAAGAAGCTAGGAAAATTCCTGAATATTTAACAATCAACTCTGGTGCATCTACACATCACTATGAGGTTGTACGATTAAGCCTGTTCTTAGGAAATTCACACTGACCTGTATAGGGGCAGAGGGCTATGATACATGTAACTTACTCTCAGTCATTCAGAAAATAACTGTGTATACACAGTCACATCCAGACACAAGCATGCATACACAGTGAGCAAGCACGCAATGACAGAGCAAACAGGGTGAAATATAAACAATAGGTGAATCTGGGCAAAGGAGATCCAGGTGTTCCTTGCACTATTTTTAATTTTGTAATTTTATGTAATAGAAATTATTTCCAAATAAAAAGGGTTTTTTTAATGCTCTAAATGTTAGTTTGAAATAGCCAAAAATAGCCCACAATTTTGAAGACAAATTTCTAAAGAGATTAGCACTAAAATGTAAAAATATTTCTGCTGTTCCAAAAAATAAAATTTCAAGAACCAAAAGAAAATGAGTAGCAGTTAATTTAAGTAACAGAGTCATGTTAAAGAAAGAAGAGGTTTATACTTGTTTGCAAAATCTAGTGCACTAAAGTAACAAATTAATTGATGGTTAGTTATAGGTTCTAGTCTTCCCAACAAGCTTAAAGTGGGGAGGAACACGGCATGGAACTACAATCCCAGCAAAACTCTGTGCGGCACGACCCACCTGCACGACAGCCCCCTACCCGTCCACACACACCAAGTGGGTTCAGGAGGAAGGTGACACAGCTGACCACACACCAGATTTTTAAAAGGGCACTTCAGGATTCAGGCTTTGGAGTGGAGGAGAGAGCACAGGGAAGGAAGCAGGTGGTGATGTCACACTCCAGAACAGCCTAGGCTCACCTTTATCTTCTGGTGTTGCCAAAGCAGTATGCAGCAGGAACGAAAGTTCTAACTTTAATTGGAAGGAACGCATTAAGAAGTGAATTGATAATAAACCCTTAATATCTAACAAGAATGTCTTATCTGTTGAGGTTTTGATCATTTTGAGTGTACTGTGATCAGCAACATCAACCTTGTTGACCACCTACACCCTGCTCTGCACTGTGGCATTCCAACTGAATGGACTGACACTGGTAGGTCTGGCCCAGGAAATCTAAACACTCAACAATAGAAAACATGATGAAACCCTATATGGGGCCTGGAAACACAGAGGGGCCATCAGAACTGGCGCCACGGTCTAGTGACTTTGGGCAGCCCAAGTGGGGCCAAGCACAGTTGCTGAGCAGGCAAGTCCAGTCTCACCTCCTAGCAGAACATAAGGTTTGGAGGACCCCATTGGCAGAGTGCAGGCTGAGATCATAGGCTCTACCTGCTCTAGGAGAAGGATGCTCCTGCCAGTACATCCAGACCACTCTTCATGTGGAGGCCAGGAATGTGGCCTACCAGGAATTGCAGGCCACTACTGGGCAGGAGAGGGATGAAGCCCACATACCACCCAGGTCTGTGCCAGACAGACCCTGACAACCTGCAGGGTCATTAAGAAATGTCCTTATCATTCTCCTGCTAAAATTGGGGTACTCCAGCACTCCATTCTTGGCAGGAGTGGCTGGGAGAGGGTACCACAGCCTACTGGCATGGGAGGTCACTGGAGGGTCAAGCTCTTAGAAAGAACTGCCCCTGCCGCAGGGTAGGCTGGGGGGTGCAGGGCAGGAGTATATGAGGACCCCATGCACCAAAGACAAAAGTGACAGCCTGATCCAGTAGCTGGGTGGGGCACATACCCTGCACTTGAGCTCATACTCCTTCAGGACCTCCATGAATCGCTCCTCCTGGGCCAGGAGTTCTATGCTCTGTGGCTCCAGCTGAAAGTCAGACACGCAAAGGAAAATTATAGACAAGACCTCAAGCCAGGCAGAGTGTATGCTGTCACATCATGTTCCTCCCACTAGGCTCAGCACCTCCTGTCCTTCTTCCTTCTCCCCTCCCCTTCTCTGGTTTAAAAGGTCTCAGGGCAGTAGGACGTGCTTGCCCTGGCCCCCTGGGACACCCTCTGCTTGGACCCTGCTCCAGAATAGCAACTCCCGAGGTGATGGGCAGGGCCGGGGGAGGGGGATCATGGTTTGCACCAAATTCTAACCTCTTCTCTGTGCTCCTCACCACTGAGAACCTATCCCTGGGGTTGATGGCACCGCCTAGCCCTACTCTTGTCATTAAAAGGCCAACATACAAGTCATCGAGGGGGCATACAGGCACCACTGCACTGGCCCAAAAGGAAGGAAAACAGGGTAAGTGGCCTCACTACTTTTTTCTCCATTCTCAGTTTAGTAGGAAAAAAAATTCAGCTGCCTAGGTATTCTTTTCAAGACCCCAAAACTTTTTACCCAGCACCACAGACTCCTCTCTGAAGACTAAGAATAAGTAAAAGGACTTGCCTTGTCCTTCAACACAAACTCCAGATCATTCTGCAGTTTCAGGACCAGCTTCTCTGATTCCGAAAGCTTTTCCACAACTTCAATAATCTCCTTCTGCAATCGACTGTTTTCCTACAAGACACAGACCAGCGGTTTGCCAGGCTTTGGGGGTGAGTGGAGGAGGAAATTGTTGGCAGGTCTGTCTCCTGAGTGAGAGGCTTATTCCCAGTAACACTCATAATCAGGGAAGAAATCTCATGGTGTCTGGCACTCACTACCTTGGCATCGTGCAGAGAAGCCTGTGTTGGGGACTGACCCAGAGCCACCAGGGACAGACCCCACAGAGCCCTCATTAATGCTCTTTGCTTTCACCATTGCTTCTGCTTCTCCCACTTCCAAGTGCTCAGAAGATCATGAGTATCATAAGAAAAGGCTGGTTGCAAGTCCTTCTGAGCCATTTTCTCAATGAGGGATTTGAAACTGAATCAGTACAAATCAGATGTCCACCGGGGAGGAAGGCAGCGTCTTCAGACATGGAAAACCAGTGAGAAGAGTGGTGAGGACAACAATGCAGTGGAGAGCCCAGGCAGTCAGGGCAGACAGGCCCTGTGCACACTGCTATCAGGGGCTCCTGGGGGGCCTGGCTTCTCCTCTGAGAGACAGAGACTGAGGTGGGCAGGCAGGTATGGAAAGAATCCACAGGCTCTGAGTTAAGAGAAGAGGAAGGCAGGAGCACAAGAGGGGCCAGGGTACACCTCAGTGGACCAAAATGCAGGGTGGGTGTGGGTCAAGGGACACTCGCCAAAGCCCAGAAACCATATCTGCTCCAGGCTGCACCCAGGGCCAGCAGAGGGGCTTTAGGTTTGCTGACCCCACAGATGCTCTGGTCTCCAAGGGGCACAGCAGAGCTAGCTGCTGACCCTCCCAAACTTTGGTCCACAGACCCAGCACAGAGAGGGAGAGCTCTGCGGGTTCCCCACCTGTCCTACTGCCACACAACCAGAGGAGGCAGAGGCAATGCCTCTCCGGCAGAAGCTAGGCCCCTTTCTGCTCTGGCTGAGAAATGTGCTCTCTACGGCTAAAACAAATGTTCCTTAGTTTGAAATCCCAGGGGTTTCCCTACCACAGAGATGCAAACTGCTTAAGGCTGCTGGGAGGTATTGAATCCTTCACTAGGAAAATGTGGTGTGTGGGAGGAGGTACCCTTAGGCAACCTCGTTTCTTTCTTTTCAGTTGGATGCCCTAGATAGCCACTACATCATCACTTATCATCATCACCTCCCCCCATACATCACTTCCTCCTCCAGTACATACCTTCAGGGCCAGGGTTAGCTTCTCTCGAAGGCTGGCATCCTCTGCCTGCAGGTGCTCCAGGTCCTTCTCCAGTGCAGCCCTCTGCCTGCAGGCCTGTTCCCAGAATAGCTCACGCTCCATCTCTACCTCGGACCGCAGGAGACACAGCCTTTCTCTGTACCCCTGTTCCAGGTGTCTGTAAGGCATACAATAGCATATGTTACGTCAGACTCCCAATGGGGCTACCCAGGCCCACCAGGCCCTGCCTCTCAGGGAACATCTTCCTGGCCAACAAGACCTCCTCCTTCCTTGGAAGCCCCCTGCAGAGAGAACTTGGACTCAACTGTTCCTGCTTGACGGATGGGATCACTGTTCCTCAGCTAGACTACATGTGCTGGTCAGAGGCCCTCCATTAAGTCCTCCCCCTGGGGCCTGATGGTGGACGCCACCCCTCAGGGCTCGTGCAGGTTTCCCCATGCAGACAAGGGGAGTCAGTGGGTCCCTGGACCTTCTGGGGCGAGCTGGAGAATGATCTCTGTGGGCAGGTCTCTTTGCCACCCCTTTGCCTTTCAACATCCTTCCACACCTCAGCCAAATACACGGTAAATCAAGCCTCTCTCATGCAGAACACTGACAGTAAAACCTGTAGTCAGTGAAATCGCAAAGGAATCAGAGGAAAAGAAAAGGTAGGAGGCACTTTCTCCATCAGATCTGCATTAATCTTTTGCAATAACCATTTCCATCAATAGGAAAAACAGTGCTAAATCTTAGTTTTATCACTGAAACAGATTTTTCAAACCAAATCTTACTTTAGCAGAGGGTTTGGCCATGTTAATCATCAAGTATAAGAAAACATTGGGGCTCTTCCTCTGGCTGACAGGCTGGACTTTTAATCTCGTCTCAGAAATTTAAGGAAGAAACACCCAGAAGGAAAGAGATAGAAGAAGGGCAGCTGTTACCAAAGCAAAAAGAGTAAGATAAATATGGCAAATGTAATACTCCACAAACCTTTGGGGTAGTTTTAAAAACACGTATTTGATCATATCACTCCAGTCTTTAAAAACTTTTGAAATATCCAGCCAAAGGAAAATGGTCAAATAAAACATGGCAGACCCACATAATGAGGTGCTCTGCAGCCACCAGAAAATCATATATAATATAGTACTATTTTGTTAATAATTCTGTACATGGAAAAAAGAAGGGAAGGACATAAAAAGTGTTAAGATAATCTCTGGGAAGTGAAATTTCTGCTTTCGCTTTTATTTTTCTATAAGAACACGTATCATTGATTACTTCTGTAATAAGACAAACCTAATGCATCCATAAAAGCTATTTCTAGAAACCTACTGATGATGCCCCATTACCCATGGGGCAAGATCCAAACTCACCCCACATACTCTCAGACATTTGCTTGCAGAATCTATCTACATCAAGAGACACACAGGGCTCTGTGCTGAGTGCTCTAATAAACTGAGTGTCCCATCGCTCTCACTTTACAGGTGAAGAATCTGAGGGGCTCTGTCCACCTAGGGTCACAGCAAGGGCCCAACAGACCCAGAATTCTAAAATGCATCTTGCTAGCTCCTCAGTGCCCACCTCAGCCTGACTTTTCCCCCAAAGGTGAGGCAGAAGGAGGCGGGGAGGCCAGCGGCCCCTCTGTACGTCACCGGGAGCAGGGCCAAGAGCTGGTCTTTTCATAGCACATACTCTTTGCTATCCATGAGAGGATACCTCTAGGTGATAAAAGCTTGGAGAAGCTGAACAACCACTGAGTTAAGTCAAGGGAGCTTAGCACAGACTATTCCCCACAGTGGGGTGAAAAGAACTCTCTCGGCCTGGTTCAGCCTGGGAAATCCTCAAGGGCTAGATTTTCTCGCGTTTTAGTCAACAAACCAAAGAGATGGTTTTGTGTCCATAGAAAAAAGTAAGAAATCCTTCCTTCTGGTCTGTCCAGCCATCAGCCTGAAAGGTGATGCAGACTGCTTTCCAGGCGTCTGTGCAGTGCAATCTCAGCAGTCAGGTTTCAGGCTCTGGACTCCTTCTACCACGTCAGGCTCCTTCCCACTGAGCCAACAGGCTCCAAAGCCATTCACGAGACCTCCCCCAAAATGTCCATCTGTCTCACTGATCACAGGCACACACAGAACACTCAGCTGGAGTAGGACAGACACCATAAATGAAGCAGAAGAAAGTGAGGGCAGCAGAGAGGAATTTTCCCGGCAGCCCACAGGCATGCACAGCTAGATGCCACTGAACCACAAGCCCCGTCATAAAGGGCAAGACCACTTATTAAATGCACCACCCCACTTCTTCTTTCAAGGAAGGGAATTCCCAAAAGTGCATCTTCTGGACTTCTACTGGCTCAGGTGAAATAGGAGCGTCTCTGTTCTGCCGTGTTCATGAGCATGGCCTCAGCTGGTGGCAGCCCCACGTCCATTACCCGCTCTCAGCCATGGCTAGGGAATCGTTGCCCTGGTGTTGAGGAGCCACAGCTCTGGGCTCAGGCACCACAAGCAGAACCTACTTTATCTTCTTCTCTGTGAGCTGCTCCAAGGCCAAGTGGCAGTCATCCATCTCTTTCACAAACTCCAGGTTCCTCTTCTCAGCTTTCTCTAGATCCTTTCTTGCCTTGTCTCGCTCCCTCGCCATCTGCTCCACTTGCCCTCTGCCACAGGAAGGAGACAGGATTGATGGAGCATATGCTCTGGGCCCAGTGAGCCCTGTGTCTGCACGAATGAAAAAAAGGGCCAGCATTCCTGGGTTTAGGGTATGAGCCAGCACTGTGCTCTATCCTCACGCTACCACTAACCACCTTCTAAGGCGGTTTCTACAATTACTGTGCCATTTTACAGATGTACATGCTGAGAGAGAGGTTAAATGACTTACCAAGAGAAGTTTTTAGGTCTGAACCACGGAAGTCAAGCCTAGATGCTTACAGTGTGCCACACATCCAGATGGCCTCAGAACAGGGGAGAATATATTTGTTCACCCTCTAGTCTCCAGCTAGGACTTGGGCCCCAGGGGTCCCGAGTACCTAGTCTGGGACTGAACATGTAAGGGGAGAAGGCTGGTCATCCCATATCCTGCCTGGTCACAGCCCTGATACCTCCAGCCTGACATCTGAGTGAATGCAAGATGAATCACCCAGAGCAGCAGGCCATCTCTGTGTTTGGCGCTGGCTCTGTCCAGTCACCCTAGGCACCCCTACAGGCTTGCAGATCACCGCTGGCACTCTATTTTGGTGACCATTTCTCTCACTGAAGGAGCACCAAAGTTTCCCCTCTCCGCCCTCCCAAGGCACAGTCTTTCTCTGGTCCTATTTGCAGAGAGCTAGCTGAGGTCTGAAAGGTCATCTGTCAACACCTAATGAAATGCAGTCTTGAGGATGGAAACTGTGATTTCCGCAAACCTTTTCTGCAGCTCTGGAACATCAATAAAAATACAAAAACAATTTTTTGTGCCAATCTGCCAAGCAGACAGATGGCTTGAATACTCAGCTAAACCAAAACTGAACCCAATTAAAGTGGAATGTACTCTTGGCCAAACTGTCACTTTGCACTTAGTGACCGCATTTGAAGAATACTTCTTTTTCCTCTCTAGCCAGCGACCAGAGCCCAGGAGCCCTCTCTCTGGCTGTTCTTGGAAGCGCACCCCAGACTGGAGGGTTTCCGCCTCTGTGCTTCAAGCTCAGGCAATAGCAGGATGTGCAGTTCAAATACTTCTTTTTTGGAACCTTGCTAAAAAGGGCCAAGGGAGCTCCTTGACATAGATTTTTAAGCTTCTCACCAGATGGAAGGGAAGGCCAGACCACAGAAGTCCATGCAGCAGTCACTGAATAGTTTACTAGGTCCTCAGGCCCCCCTCAAACCACACACACACAGACGGAACTCGAGGCACAGAGAGCCCTCGTCCTGCTCTCAATTGCTCTTTACCCCACTGCAAGCTCCAGCTAAAGGAAAGCCAGTGAGAAAGGTGGTGCAGAAACCCATTCCTGACACTGGCCATCTGGGGTGGATGAGGGCAGAGCCCCGTTTTCTTGGACTCTTTTCCAGGCAAACCCAGCCAACTCCCCATGTCCACCCCAACCATACTGGAGATCTTACTGGCAGAAGCTCAGCTCCTGGCGGTAGCAGGCCAAGGCCGCCTGCTGAGTGGCACCATGAACCATCATGAGCTCGTTCTCAAGGGCCCAGGTCAGTTCCAAAAGGTTCACCTTCTCATCCACACTGAAGTCGAGGCTCTGGAAATAGCAAGACTCATCAGGCAGGATAAGATGAGGAATTCTCTAAATACATCCTGACTCTCTTAGTGACAGTTCAGGCAGTGATACATGCTGTCCTGTCTGGTAGACGGCACTTGCTACTTTTCTGTCTGTAAAGTCTCTGCCTCCCAGGCATGCCCCTCCCCAACCCACATAACTCTGGTGCCCCATCTTGCCCCACCTTGTCCTATCCCAGTTCTCTCCTCTTCACTGTCTCTGCAAAAGGGGCAGGTGTGACCCAGGCTAGACAGAGTTCCCCTCCCTGGACAAAGTGACTGACACAAAAGGAGGACAAGTCCCAAGCAGAGGTCTTCATGGGGATCCATAGGAAGCTGGAGGAGAGAGGTTTTTCCCTATGAAATCAGTTGTATAAGGACATGTGGGTCTTGGAGAGTTGCAAGAGGAGAGGCTAACACCACCAAGAAGCAAGCAGGAAGATGGAAGGGAGTCCTGGCAACAGCCTGGA